GGGCAGGGGAGCAATCACTGAGCTATCACATAGCTATCCTCAGATAGCTAGGCTCTAGGAAAGGGGATCACTCCAGGAGATGGCTCACCACAACTGCCAGTAAGACACAGCTAGCCTCAGATAGCTGTATTCAAGTAAGCCCGTCCTGCCATAACAATGGCTGTAATATAACCACTGTAATATAAATTGACAAGCCAATGTCATTGACCAGGAGCTCACAAGAGGGAGATCCGGGCCATCAGTAAATGATTCGCTAAGAGCGAACACATAAACATCATCAGTCCGAGATCAAAGCCTGATATAAGCCATGGCCAAAAACACTAGAAGGATGGACACAGCTATCCTCGAATAGCAGTTCCCTCAGATAAGGCTGAAGACAGGACAAAGACGTCAGCGCTTACTTGAGAGAGCTTGTGCCAAGGGGAACCCAAGCCAGGATAGAACATAGCTGCCCTCAGACCGCCATATTCCGGATCAAAGTAAGCTTGAGCTGGAGCATAACCATCCGCAGACAGCTACACTCAGAGCAGAGACTGCTCACTTAAAACCCTGAAGAGGGGGAGCAGTGTACTCAGCCCAAACTCACTAAGCGGGATTCAGAGGGACCGCACACTTAAAAATACCCAGAAGCCTGGGGAGGCAGCCCATTCCTAAACCCGTCTGGCTTAATACAAGAAGGAACATTCCCCATAACCACTCTAAGGTGCTGAAACACCCTGGGAAAGAAAGCTTGCAAGCATTTCTCCACAGAGTATATATTCACGCCCAGCGAGGCTCTCCACACACAATAACATGCATATTAGAGAGGCAAGGACTGAGCAGAATATAGCTCCGCCCACGATCTCGCAGGATCAGGCTGTAACGATTCAATGCTCACACTTCATCGTCATAAAAACCCAATAGTACCTGCAGCGTCTGACAACCTGTTTAGAGAGGGTGTGCGGATCCAGCAGATCAAAGCGATCATTGCAAGCTGGGATAAACTGTGCCGCGGCAACAGCGAACCGGGCCGTGAAACACAAACGCTTCGTCCTGCATCCCTCGGGAATAGGAACAAATGCGAGCAGAGCCTAGACATCATGACTCATCACAATGAGCGTGTAACTCTAAATGCGCGTGCTTTTCGCTGAGACAAACGCGAAAGCAGAATATGCCTTCAAGTGTTCGAATCCAAACACAGCAGCACACATTCCCTCAGGCGCCACGGCAGCAGCGGGACCCGAACCGCGAGACGCAAACGCCTGTCACTCATCACTCGAGAAGAGGGACAAACGCGAATGGAGATTCTCATTGGAGACACTCACAATGAGTGCGTTCAGAGCCCTCGAGCACTGAACGCGAAAGCTCCCGACCAAGATACATGACACATAGATCGTGTGTGTCCTCAAGTGTCAGAAACCTCAGGCACGGAGGCACAGACTCTCCACAACGCTCACCTGCCCTGGTCAATCACATGAGCTTCAAACAGATGGCTCCTGAAGACAGCAAAGAGGATGACATATTCAGCAGGTGCCCTTTTATACTTCCAGGCACCCCACCTATGACGTCATGGGCCAGGTGGACCAATAGATTGGCATTGTTTCACACGTGCTTCAGACACCGGATATGCAGGCTGCATTCCTCAATGTGCCCCCTAGGAGGTGCAGTGTGGAGTTCCCTAGAAAGGGAACATTTCGTTTATAGCAGATTCATCAATATTAACTTCTAGTCTCTAAATAACAGTAACATCATACATACTGTTTCCATTTGCCTGAGCTTGAAAAACTAATAACTTTAAAGATTAATTTCTTTAAAAAGTCATCAATTTGAATACTTACAGTACAACATCCACTATTCATCAAGGCTATGAATGAAGACTAATGAGGAGATTTAGAGAGGTAGTTTACCCACCTCAGAAGCTCATGGTGGCTCAGCATTGTGTCTTTGCCACTATTTGAACACACATTTTCTCACTTTCAGGTGCTGGCATTTTTAGACAAGGTAATAATTCATCATGCAGAAAGCAGTTTGTATTTACCTTCATATTTTAATTACATTGCAAACCCTAACAGTCTAACATTTGGCTTCAAATCAGCTGCTACTAACGGATAACCACAAATCTGATCCAAATGGCAAAATTCTGATCATTTGTTATTGTGTATGGCTTTGTGACTTACTTTTAAGTATTTGCAAAAAGCTGGTGTGGATTTTGGATTCTTAATTCTTTCTTCTTATTGGATCTATTAGGTGACTGATTTTGAGGTTATGTGTGCAAAAAAGCTGTTGGGAAGTTCATAATATTGTATTTGGGTAATTTTGTGTCCTTTAACTGTTGTTTTCTTCCATAGACGGAGGAGAAGGCCCACTCGGAGGTAAGATTATCTTGTTTCCTACTTATATTTGTGATTTTGGTAGAATCAAATATGTAAAAGAAATAAAAGGTCAAACAGTGATACACTTTCACAAAGTCCAACATCAGGTGGTTGACTGAATCGGACAAACAAACCAATGCATTTAACAACAGTTGTTTTCAAAATTGAAAATGTAACCCTATGTTGCATTATTTCATGAGATACTCTTATGGAATCGATATCTATAATTCACTTTCTCACTGGTTCACTTTGATTTGGACTCTTGTTCATTTGATCACTGATTTTCCTTTGATTTCACTTCCTTTTGTGTTTGTGTGCCATTACAGTTCTCTCTACTGCTAACATTTTAGTCCAAGACTGCAGACTTTTGTATATGCTGTGTCATGTAATGTTTCACATGTAACGGCTAACTTTTCCTTAGATGTGCTAAAAACTAATGTATTCCTGTTTCATGGTTAAACCTGCATTTTGTACGAACATGGAACATAACATGGAGTTAATTGTACTTTTCTTTTTTCAATCAAGGGCCAAACAGTCCAAAATACAACGGTAATTTCTCATTTTACATACACTCTTTCTAGTATAATACAAGGGAAAGCACTGGAAAGTCTTACATGCCAGAGTGCTTACCAGAGGCCACTGATTGATATCTAGGTTATTTTGTTACTGTTAAGCAAAGACAATAAAAGAAGTTTATTCTCCATTACTTCAGTGCACAGCTCATAGAGGTTTGTAATGAGAAACCACTTCTTTTCCTACAGCAAATCAGAAAACTGCGGAGAGAGCTGGATGCCTCTCAGGAGAAAGTGGCGACCCTGACCTCTCAACTGGCAGCCAACGTGAGTGTGATGCAAAAAAAAAAAAAGCAGTCAAAATTCATAAAAATTCATCTCATCTAGTATTTTAAATTTAAACACATACTATGTGCCTGCGCTGCAATAAAATGCTGTGTAAATAATAATGCTTATTTTGAAAATAATAGATAAAAAATATAATACAATATAATATAATATAATATAATACTAAAGGTTAGAGCAGAAAAAATCTTGATCTCTTGAAATTATTTTAAATACACAGCATTTTTGACTTTTAAAGATAAACTGTTCACAGTCAGTATGTTTGGGAATTTGAATTGTCATAATCTGAGTTGCGCATTGAAAGCAGCTCAAAATCCCAGACGTTTAATTTTAGACTGTGGTATTCTGAGAAGTCTTACTTTGTGTCCCTACATTGTCAAACTAGGACATTGTGTTTCACAGCGTCACATTAGATTTCTGTGTGAAGGCACCACAGAAAGAGAGAAAGTTTGGACCGGGCTGAGCTCTATTCACTTTGCTGTCTCTGGAGTGATGAAGGCAGGTGTGATGAAGGGCTTTGCTCTCTGACAGTTTAGTGAGAAGTGTGACAGAGCATTAGACAGTTGCTGTCTCTCCACTCGACCTCCTCTGTGATTTGTGTTTGACAGGAATCGTGTATGGGAGAACAGCTCCGAACTACATCTATTCAAGTTGCACAATAGTTGAGTGAATTGAAATGTCTGCTCTCCAGCCGGATGTTTTTGAACTTCTCAGTGTCAGAACAACTTTTGAAAGTTGGTGTTCATTGTTCAGGGATTCAAACGAGATTCTTTCTTTCTGTTGAATCCTGATGCTCCACGGCAAGATGGTGTATTATAAAATTATGAATTAACAACACAGAAACATATCACATGAAGATGAAATGTTGGTACATTTGGACCCAAAGATGATTTAAACACTCAACAAAGTTGCCTGATAGCCATTCCATTAGATTTCAAACCAATATCAAACCTTTTATTTTAAAATTAGCACGAGCACACTTTTTAAACAAAACACTTGACATCTGTGTGAACTTGAGATAATCTTCCGCTAAAAATCAGCTACAAATTACAATCAAAAGGTACAAAATTTGCTTTAAAGTGTAGGATAAGTATCCAAGATTGACTATGAACCTTCAAAGTTTCTATATTTCTTCCATTCACAACTTTCTGCCCACCCCTTGGATAATCTCTGTCTCATGTGCATTTGTGTTAGAGAGTCTGTGCAGTTCTGTAGTGTTGTAGGGTGTGAAAGAGCTTAAGGGTGGCTGTGGTTAACAGTAGTAGTGCTTTAGCTAGTTCACTGTTTTGGCCACAGCTGAACCATTATCCAGGCAAAGAGAGCCCAAATCAGTTTGCTCAGATATGGTCATTATGGCTGCAAAACATCTGGATTTCATCACAACCACACCAGGTAGGTTGATAACGTGACGTGGCTTTATATATGTGGTTTAATGTTGATTCTTAATATTTGGCTTTCATTTTTGGTGAATATCATAGTTTAAAATAACTTTAATGTCAAAATGTCCACCTTGAGATTGTAGAGAGGCAAGAGCTTGTTTAGAGGGATTCATGTGCCAGGCACCTTTGTGAACGGTTTCTGCTTGTTTCAGGTGTGCTTGACTGGGCTGAGAGACTCAGTGTGGACAGATAGTTGAAGGAATATAAATGGATGGACAAACAGGTCAGGGCAGGGCATGTCGTAAAAGTGTGTTTATAGAGGTGCTCTCCCATTAGAGTCACTCAAGCATTTGGCATTGTGCCTCTCAGTGTTCGCTTGGCTTCACTTCCTGGCAGGCATTTTAAATAGTATGTACCAAGAACCTTTTCAATACAGCACTGCTTACTGCTGAAGATATAATACAACACAGTGATATTTACTTTAAAATATTAGAATTTTAACTGTTTATAGCTTTTATTTAAATTGTGTCATTTGGTTATTGTGTCATTTTTATAGTAAAGTAATAGATATAACAAGAAATAATCAAGAGAAGAAGGACAAGATATGTTCAAACATGCGTTTACCATTTGTATTTTATTTTATTTTATTTATTTTGTTTTACACCAGCTTTGACTATTGTATGCATTGTTATCAAAGTCTGTTTTGTTTTGTTTTGTTTTGCTTTTTTGTTTGTTTTTTGTGTGGGTGCTTTGTTTTGTTTTGTTGTTGTTGTTTTATTTTTTTGTGTGTGTTTTGTTTTGTTTTGACTATGAGTCAAAGGTCAGATGATAAACTGGGTCATTTCTATTGCCAAAAGATGTTTTTGATGTATTAATCTAAGATTGTTACATTTATTTGTATATTCTCCTTAGCATTCACTGACATCAGAAGTCTTTTCAGAGTAGCTGAGGTCAGCGTTAGAGACGTCTCCTCCACCAAAGCCCCGGGGCCTTATGTTCAGACAAGCCTTAGACATTTGAACTCCATCGCAGTAGCTTAAACCTGAAACATGCTTCAAAGCCCTTGGCGACTGTTGAGTAGTTCACAGCACTATTCAGCTTGCCGGTGCAGTATAGATCAGAATTACCCAGGAGAAACTCTCTGGAGGCTCAGACTAGGTGGATACAAAGATATATAATACTTTTTCGTGCTCAGATGCCCAGAGTGTGCTTTAAGTTTTTATACACGGAAGGATAAACTTAATAGACCTGTGTATCTATAATGCAGGTCTCACCGTGCACTTGTTTTACACCCACTGCATTCAAAGGAAAGCAGGCAATGTGAGTTGATTGCTATGGAATACAGTGCCGTGAAAAGGTTTTTGCCCCCTTCCTGTTTTTTTTTTTTTGCATATTTGTCACTCACACTTAAAAGAATCAGATCATCAAACAAATGTTAATATTACACAAAGATAATGCAAGTAAATACAAAATGCAGTTTTTAAATGATGATTTCATTTATTAAGGGAAAAAAGCTGTCCAAACCTACCTGGCCCTATGTGAAAAATTAATTGCCCCCTCCTGTTAAATCATGAAAGAACTGTGATTAACCACATTATTTTAGAAAGCTGAGTTAAATTTCACTGTCCACACCCAGGCCTGATTACTGCCATCACTTAAACAGAACCTGTTTGACAAAGTGAAGCATGCTTAAAGAGCAACACATCATGCCGCGATCTAAAGAAATTCAAGAACAGATGAGAATCAAAAGAGTTGACATGTATCAGTCTGGAAAGGGTTTTAAAGCCATTTCTAAGGCTTTGGGACTCCAGCGAACCACGGT